AAAATGTCTGCACCTGCCAGAAGGCGTGAAGTTACGTGTGTTTATTTCACTGTTTCCCTCACAATTAAATATAATTAAATATAGTACGCAAATATCATCTTCCGTTATTATATTTCTCAAGTACTTTCTCGACAAATGGATATTAGTACTACCACGACAGCAATAGGATACATGCAACAAATTTGCAGAAAGTTTGCAGAAGTAAACCAAAACGAATTTAACAAGGATACTATATCGACTAAACTGACAGAAATTTATTTTATTTTAATATTGGAGGTAGATATATTATGTCACCTTAATGTTTTGCACATTCTTTTCGTGTATTAAGTTTTAAATGTTTTAAATAATAGACGTATTTACATTGTTCACGATTATGAGGTTGGATTAGTGTTACTGAGCTTTGTTAAACTAGTTTGCTCAATAGAATATGTCAAATTAGAGAACATGCTTATCGTACCTGATTTGATAGGTTCTGAGGAAACCTTACTATTAATTAAATGGATCTTGATCGGATGAAATACGAACATCCAAATGAATTATCAAATAATATTTCTCTTTGTCTGAAATTTTCCTTTAATATTTAACATTTTTATTCGCATGAAAATCTAGAATGCAGAAAAAAGTTTAGAATAGAGAAGAAGTGAAATATGTCTTTTAAGAACTGGCCTCACACTGAACTCAACTTCATCACTCATTCATTTTCTACTTTACATTACCTTATTTAAATATTATTCTGATAAGAAGCGATACTTTTTAATTTAACTTAAAAATAGCCTAACCACAAATTTAATTTTATTCAAAAACATCCTATTTAATTGTAGATTTAATTCTACTTAAAGATATCTGCTAATGTATCTCATCTAATTGTAAATCTAATTCAAGTTTCCTGTCAAAAAGATGGAAACGTTGAAAAAATTAACGACAAACATATTTATTAAAAAACTGTTTAAGACTCAATGCAAATATCAGATGCAATAATAAAATATTTTACTCAAAGCTAAATATTAATGTAAATAAAATAACAAGAGCAATGTTCGACTCTTGTTTCTTTGATTCCGAAATTTGCTTGTCGCGAAGTTCCTTGCACAGTATATTAATTTTCATTTTAAAAGTTTATTATGGTAAACATATTTTCAATCCGAGATACTCAAATTAATATAAAATATCAATCGTCAATCTCATCTTAAATTCTAAAATTTTTTTAATTTCTATGTAATACTACCAGTCACTCGTGTCGAATCGAATCTTTCATCCTACGACATGATTGACTGACAGGAGGTACAGAAATGCATGCGACTTACGATTAGACGTGAAGTTCGTTGTTATGGATGGTGTGATATACGAAAAGTCATCTGAAAAGCGGTTATCAAGTAAAAACCGTCGAGTCCCATGGTGGAAGTAGAGATTGTGAAAAATCTTTAACAAAACACGAATATCATAAATTATTATTAAAGGCAGTGTTAATTATTTGGAATATGCGAAATAATGAGAGAAGTTGATCTTTTTAGAATTGAAATACAACATGCAAGTTACTTACATTTTTGACTTTTGAAGCACTCATTTAATTACAGATTAGATCCTCTCCAGAGAACGGGAAAAAGTGGAGGTTGAAAAAACCTTTAAGAAAATGTGAAATATTACAAATTGTTCTTAAAAACAGTGTCGATTGTGTTGCATATCAAAAGTGATCCCGGTGTAATAGCGACCTCTTTATGAGAATAATAAAAGTTACATATTTAAAAAAGTCAGGAGATGACGCTACTATAGAAAATTCGTTCGCAAGGTATAAGTTGGAAGCCCATGGTCCTTTTTTCCTAATCTGTAAACTGAGCTCAATTTAGAATGTTAGTTATTTCAATTTCTAGCGAATATAACGAAATCTAGTGTATCTAGTTTAAGCTAAGACATTTGTTAAGCAAATGTACTCTGTTGAACTGTTTAGAATCTCGTGTGAAATCTTCTGCTTTAATTTATTTGGAACAGACAAATAATTTAATATACTCGTAATAGCAAATTAATTTTTATAATCTTTTATAATTTCATCTTAGTATTCTTAACAAGCTATAGATTATCCATTATTCAGCTATGACATATCAATTATACGTTATAAGGTTATGTATCATGGAATGAATAATTGTATTAATAACTAAATATTACCAGTAATCCGGAGAGCAATATGAACACGAGAAGACTGCTTCCGCCAAATTAAACGTTAATTATCACAGCCTCTATATTTTGAATTCCTGTTTCTTTCATGTCGACCTCTCTATTAACCAATAATCTGTGCGAAAGGAAACAAATGTACAATACGAAAACCAATTATATAGAAACGAAACAATATACGAGTACAAAATCTGTCTCAAAAGTAAATAGTACGAGCTACTGATAACTATAATAGTCAAATGTACAATCGAGGAATAAAAAACAAAAAAGAACTTGACAGTATATTTAATTTTGTTACAATAATGTTCAATAAATTAATAAATGAATGCGTATTAATAAAACAAACCTAATAGTAGCATATAAACGTAGAAGAATAGCATTGGAAATGTATTACGTAGTTAATGATCTCAAGCGTCGATCGATACGTCTTGACGCCACGATTTTCGACAATCGAATGATGCCCGCGCTGTGGTTTCGTCTAACATTCGTATTGGGGTGGGGATGTTTAGCTTCGCGGGAAGTCGAACGTATTCGAACCGACGAATTCTTGGAAAATGCTAGAACATATCATATAGCATACAAATTAGTAAATTCCTCAGATACAATACGTGAGAATATATTCTGACTCACGAAAATATTTAAAAACTTACCATAGAAAACTGTATATACATACTATGATATATATACATTATATATATATATCATATTACATACATATGTAAAGCTTTTTGAAATTTTAGCTAACCATTTATTTTAAATTTTCCACAAAATATCATTTATGCGATCAATCTCACGTAAATAACAGAATAGCATCGTGCATGATGAAATCTGCGTTCAAATGATATGTTCTTTAATTAGTAACAAACCAAATTAATTTTTGATGACACGACGAACCTGTTTAATTACGACGCATCTGTCCACTATTTCACGCATCACGCGCGCGCCGATTAATTAATTTCCTCGTTTCGACTATGAATTAGAATTGAAAAATTCTCGCTGATTCCTTGGCCTTTTTTCCTGTAGCGTTCCATCAAATATTATATGTCAGATTATGACACTTGCCAAGTTCACGAACGTGTGTCAACTGTTTAATTTATTTCTTCGTTAATTAATTACATCGAGAATATTCGTCTCGAAAGTTTTATGCTACACCAACGAAATATAATTTCTACAATTTTCGTCTCGCTTGTGCGACGTTATTTTATCGCAATAAATTCAAGTTTAAGTTTTCGTGTTTCCATCTTATTCCAATATTCCACCTCATATTAATTTGCTTGCGTATTTGAATAGTGGCCCTTAAAACTATATAATTAAATTTAGCCTGTGTGGGTGTAGAATACAAATTGTATTCACATTCAAGCTATGACGATTGGAAGGTAAAAGCGGAATAATTTCAGAGTAGGAGGAGCGACGATACTGTAGCAAATGTTCTGTTATAATAGTTTATGATACCTTTATTTTGTTGGAGTAAAACATTCTGCTTTCCTCTCAAACAATATTTATCTTCTTTTGCATGCTTAAGAAAGAAACATATAAAGGCAGAATTTTGTCTTCTAAGGACTGAACTTTCTCTTGTTGGAAGCATCACTTATTCATATTTTTTCCGTTAAAAAATCCAAGTTTTCCTCTCATCGAATAAACGGTCGCAAACTTTTCTAGCTGCACTGCATAAAATACGAGGTTTACTCGGGCAATCTTTATGCATATTATGGATATCCGTTATCCAGTTAGAAATTATTTAGTTTCCCAAGATAGATCGTTCATGCGATACCAAGCGTAAAATAAGCTTTCAGTAACACGTTATGCATGTTATTATGCGGTTTTATAATGGACTGATTTTTCCAATTTTGTATGTGCGATTAAACTAATCTTCTTGAATAATATATCAGAATTTGTTTACAACAATTGCTTTATTTGTTATGTCGAAATGGTTGCCTGCTTCTAATCAAACCAATGGCCAGAGTTCAAAACTGGCTCTCGAATCGAATGGATTGATAAATTCTTTGACTTTATGAAAGCTATTGATAAATTCCAAAAACGATAGTACAGTCTATGGAATATCTGAAACACCAGGCTTTGCTGGAAATAAATTAAATACACAGTTTATTCAAGGTTGATTAATCACAGTTGTGCAACTAATCAATTCATTATTTAAAATTTAAATACGAAAATGTTGTCCGATACGCTATAAAATCAAGAATTATTTTCACCTATACAATGATCTTAGAATTTAATTTTGCTTTCTTTTGATGATTAAGAAGGTATACGATATTCCTAACAATTTACAATATCTGCAAAATCGATACATATTAGCGTCGATATTGAAGCTACAACTACTTATAACCGATATAAACGAAGGCGAGGTAATAATGGAATAATCGTGAACGGGATTTTCTTATTATACTTCACGTAGTAGTATCAATCTTGCCTGTTATAAGGTTCCCTATCGAGAAAATTGATTTTAAGGAATTATCGACGATACATAGGCGCACAATATAAATCTTTAATGCTGAAAGATAAAATAGCTTTTTAAGTTTCCAATTAAAACAGTCATTTCCTCGTTCGAGACAGGTCCAAGTATAAAAATGTTAGAGAACAACGAACATATTCTTACCAAGACACAATAGATAGAACAAATTATTGTTCTAGTGTTATTTGATAAGCATAGTTCAATTAAACTATCCTTTTCGACGCTTTAACATTTATATCAAAATTGATTTCTATCGCGAGAAGACATTGAATTTCCACTTCCATTTAGTTTCCATTGGAAAGGTATTTAAACAGTTATCTTCCCAACAAATTCATCGAGCTCAACAAACGCTGTTTTAAATTTACAGGTGACATGCCAGGATGAAGATAACACTCAATGCATGCCAAAAGCAGCCTTCCTGGCTCTGTTGCGTCATCCGGAAGTCAGCTCGAATTTAGCCGCCTATTCTAGAACAGCGAGAATAACTCAGGATGTAAAAAGTCGTAACGACATGGCGCATCTGAGAGCTTTAACCGAGGAGGCTGACGACACGGAGATCTGCGTACCTGGTCGCGTTTATTTGCAACTATTGAAGGATCCGGTCATGCGTGGCGATCTCAGTATTATTCTCAATGGAAGAACACAGAAGTTACCAGATCTCCTAGGACGTTTGCTCGACGATAGCGACGAGATGGATGCGAGGGAGTTCCTGCTTGAATCTCAGAAAAGAAGCCTCGCAACGTTGGCCAAAAACGATGATCTACCGATTAGTATCCAGGATCGTATTGCTGACAACGAGGATGACGAAGAAAAGAGGGCTGCAATTTCCAGGTACAATCGTATTTAGTACGTATGTATTTAGCATTAGTTTGTTCTATCCTAAATTTTGTTCTGTTCTTTGTCTTAATATCTGCTATTCCATTTCTTAATGCATAAATTATTTTGAACGAAATCGCAAATGAAGAGACCACAATAACTTGGTGTTGTTACATTTCAAGAATGTTTAAATCCAGAACTGATAGTAATTCTTGTGAATCTGAAAAAGAATGAAACTAGTTAATCGTTGAGAAAGTACTTTGAAAAATACAACAGAAATTAGAAAATCAGAATAAGGATAAATAATCCCCTAGAAGTTTTGATCAATTGTTTAGCGTTTGTTATTCGAAAAATAAACGGAATGAACCAAAAGTCAGGAATTTCACAATGTACAAAATCGGAGTTAATCTTCACTGAACGTTTTCCGAACAGCGAGCAACCAGGACAAAACGACGCAGGAATCTCCCGTGATTATCTCCTCTCTGGCGGTCGTTCAGATTTGCAAGCCTTCGCACGAGACTTCCAGATGGAAAAACGAAATGTCGGCGCATTAGCTCGGGATTTCGCGTTGCCACCTGGTAGACGTAATATCGCGTCCCTGGTTCGTGACTACGACCAGAGCAAGAGTAACAACCGGGAATCTACTTTGCCTTACAATGGAAAAAGGAACGTCGCTTCCTTGGCGAGAACGTTCACTCTACCTCAAAACGGGAAAAGGAACGTGGCATCCGTAGCCAGAGACTACGGACTCCCTTATGGGAAAAGATACGTCGGTTCCTTGGCCAGAACAGGCGATTTTCCCGCTAGAAACCAGAGAAGCATCGCTTCTCTGGCGAAAAATTCCGCTTGGCCAGTTTCATTGAAGAGAGGAATTTTCTTGCCCGGAAGCGTGATCCTGAGAGCTCTTTCCCGCCATGGTAGATCGATGATGGACGAAACGAATGCGAGAAACGACCTGTTAGATCTTCAGGAGCTGAGTAACCTGGAACAAAGTCAGAGAAACGATTACGAGACTGCGGAGGAAAAGTTGAACGATTCCTTGACGAAAATCGATTCGAACATTAGGAGACCCAAGAGACAGATTGACTTCTCCGACGAGTATCCTCTGCCTGTTATGCAAAATACGAACGGTTTTGATTACGAAGAGATGATGGAGGCGCTCAGTGGACAGTACCCGAACGCAGAGAAGAGGTTCATGGGTGAGTAAAATGTATTTGCTTCTTTGTGGAATAAGTTGGAAGTTTAGGGGGTGAAAATTGTAATTCGATTCGAGTATCCAGGAAACTCTTTGTGGAAAGATGAGATTGTTGATTCTTCGAGCGAAATTTATTATTTTCTTTTTCTTTAAAAGAAAAATGTAGATTATCCGTATTAATATGTCAAGTAATTTAACAATTACTTTAAACAGAGAAAATGATTCGCGTCAACTCGTATTTTCGAAAAATAGCTGAACAAAGTGTTAAGAATAGAAATAGTTTCTCAAACACCAAATAGCAATTTCCTATCTTTTTCCATTAAATAGTCCATTCCATCCTTACGACAGACTAGATTAATTAACTTTTCAACCGAATAACAGCAATACGACACGCTATGTCCCTCGTAAGCATCCTTGTGCACTCAGAGCCCGATAAAAGTAGACCTCGACCCGTTCGAGCGAGTGTATTTCATGTCGTCGGGAATGGACATGTCAACCACGTAGTTGAACGTGAAAGTCAGAGATCGAGCGTAAATCGAGCGCTATCTGTGAATGTCAGAAACAGGTTCTGCACCGGAGATGCAGCCAGAGGTAGACCAGTTCGGCTACCCGGAAACGTTTCAAGCGAGTAAAAGACACATCGGGGCCCTGGCACGTCTTGGTTGGCTTCCATCTTTGAGGGTCGCGCGATTTTCGCGCTCACTTCGGTATCCGAATGGCAGGTCAGACCATTAGGTTCTCACCTGCTCCGTCGTTCTAGGGCAATTCCGGAAGAGATGGACCTCGTTATTAAAGAAACATCTCAAACTTATGTATTTTAAAAGATTTACTGGATATTACACCTCCCCGTATAGCGAATAATTTTTTCTAAACTTCATGTATCTTCGTGTAACTACACGATATATTCATACGTAGATGGAGAAAATTTGCAGCTGTACAAAATTTGGGCTTGTGATCCGATTCCTCCCTCGCTTTTACGAGGGATTGGTTTAACGATAGCTATATTATCTTATCAAATCGATTTCCTAAGTTGGATCTGAAATCATCATCGTAGATCGAATAAACGTAGTTAAAGATTCTTTTACAAACACGATGTAAGCAGTTCCTCTAATAATAGATTCGTACCAATTCCATAATTCTTAGTCTTATCAGATAACGAAATATCGAGCTTTGACAAAATTTTATAGAGATACGATGAATGAAAATCTGCAGACGCGTCCCATTATACAACAAAGCGGAGCTGACGGATAGTTTAACAGATAGTTTGAGAAATACCTGGTTCGTCTCTCCCGATGGTCCATCGTACTTTTTGAATTACTCTATATCTCTCCTATGTCTCTTTGTGTCGTTGTCTTTCTCCGTCTTTCTCTTTGTACTGTCCTCCATTCTCTCCTCGTCATGCTGTCGCGAACGTCTACGGCCGAATAAAAGTGTAGAAAGAATGGAACGAAAGAACGATCGTTGGGAAACAAGTCGTCGAGTCATCGGGAATATTCGAGTATTTCGCAGAGGGAGATTCTGCGGATCGTAGAAAACGCGATGACCATATTACGCCAAACGTTCGCCGATATACCATCCTCCGCTTCTACTTCTTCTACTTCCACGTGGACCGTTCACGGTAGTTAAGTAGCAACTGCAATGTAGGTGTTTCAATGTGGTGCACTTATCGATGTTATGGAACTGTGTACTCGGTGCTACGGCCAATTTACAGCGCTGATGTGGTAGATGTTTTAGATTGGCTGGGATATAACAACATTATTACTCGATAGTCAATAGGTAGTTCTTTGATCATAGTTTTAGAGTTGCCCTTTGTTAAATTATCGTTGCTATATCTATACAGTATACAGGGTCATCTATCTGAACGAGCGTTTCTAACTTCGATTCGTATTAACCTATAATTGGTGATTTATAATCGATACATTAATTTCACAGGAAAATGGAAAGGATGGATATTATAAAAGCAGAACATACCTTTTTGCGTGACTTCGACGAGAATATATTTGATTTACAATGTGTATTTATTTTAGCGCTTTCTCGTTTTCTAAAATCGTAAAGTGTAAGTAACGTTTTGATCTTGTCGATGTTCCTTTTAGTCGAAGAAGAAACGAGTATAGGTACCACAATAGATTACCCTATTCTTTGTCCTTTATTCTGTAGGCAGACAATGTTTTATTACGAATAGAAAATTTATGTTTCTCTCTTTTTTTATTTTTTTTTTTTTGTTTCGGAAAGTGTGTTAAGGTTATTTCATACGGATGCGTATTTGAGATTTTACTAACATTTCGAAGTTCTATCGCTAAAACATTGCTCTGTCTTTGCTGTTAAGTAGTTACGTGTTGAATATTAGATATGTGTTTTGCTGCCAAATTTCTTCGCTCATCGAAATTTCGTTTCTATCAACGAACAACTTGAGTGTTTTGTAAGCTTATTCTGTAGAATTTTTTATGCAGAGACTAATTAATAGATGGCACAAGCTGTTATGCAAACATAACGAAGACCTACCATTGTGTTCGTTTTTTCCTTAGATATGGCAGTTACACGAGACGCAGTCGATAAAATGATACGTTTGGACAGGAAGTAATGCCTCATGCGAAACTAAATCAAAAGTGTAAAATAAACTTTCTTGGAAATTTGTTGCGTACATATTACTATTGTTATAGCATTTAGACAATAGACGCGATAGACATCGCATAAGTAGTATCTCTCGATAATACTTATTTGCCACTTTTGATTTATTTGTACGCAAGGAATCACCTCCTACTCGCTTGTATCATTTTTGTGACCGTAGTCTGTATTTAGTGATATCAGTGTTTAAGCGCTGTGTAGCGTAATAACGATGACTCTATGTAGACTATATGTGCTATATAGACTAGTAACTTGCAGTGTAACTAGAGAAAACATAGTTTCGCGATTTGACACGAATTTTGAATCATGTATTTTAGGGAGAATCCCGCAGATGGGCCCCCGTCCGACTACTCCGCCAACTCGTCGACAAGGTCGCTAAGACCTAACTTCAAATCAAGGAAACACTCCGTTCAAGCCTTGCATGGGGATTGTCGACACGGCTTCAAAAGGTTTCTCGTCTTACCGACTACGGATAATTATTTCCATGAAAAACTTCCTTACTCGTTGCGATCCAAATCGTCATAAACAGTCTCTTTTTTACTTATATATCACACGATAAATATCGATGAATTAGTCATTATGTTCATACTTTTGCTCGTACATCTCTGAAATTGAATAACGATTATAAATACGTAAATACTTTGAGAAACGAGATTTATTTTCGAAGAACTTTCGATATTTATCTGTAACTGGTACGAGATTATTAGCTGGTAACTTTTCTCTTGATTTTGAAGTTATCTGGCACTGGTAAATGTCTTTTCGAATCATCGTGTTTGGCAAGTAAAAGTATATGGGGCGCGTTATTGCTTGTTTTTGACGAACTACTGAATGAAAATCATTTCTAAAGATTCAGGGAAATAAGTAGATTTAATTCTCAACTGGTATCGAATCGTAAATGAATTTGCATTAAGTTATTTAATTTTTATGTTCGAGTTTAATTTTTATTCTATTTTACTTTTCATATAAGAAATAGAATACAAGATAGTCTAAAATTAAACAATCTAGCGGAATCTGTTGCGATTACTTACGATCCAAATGTATCGGTTGAGATTAAACGATGGAAGCTCAAATCTGTGGATACTTGCAGAACTATTATATGCGATGGATGACTGGTACTGTATTTATTATTACGGAATGCTACATTTAAAAGCTTTTTCGTGCTTCAAACGGCTATCAATGTTTAACTAGCTCGAAGTATTGACTAACTATTACAGTATTGTTAATTTTCACTAGCAACCGAAGATTTTATAAAGTGAATTATTTACGCTTCCTATCGACGTATAGTCTGACACGTACTGTTTTATATATATATACATGTAACGACTTTATATACTGTATTTAATTTAGTGCTTACTAACTTAATACTCTAAGCGTACGTTTAAGGGAAAATAGCAGTCAATACGAGATAAAATTCAGAGCGACGTTCAATTCTTTACGAAACGTTGCTAATAGATTAGCAAACACCAATTATTGCAGTAATTTATATCACATTCGATCACGTAGCTTTATTAGCCTAGTATTTTATAGTCTACAAAGAAATTATGTTTACACAGAACGAATGGCCCCTTCTTGTACGGCAGCACAAATACTTATCATTTGCAGGAATTTTATTTACTTTCTGAGTAATGTTAACGGCGTGCAAGTGTAATTACCAGAAATATTAGAAAATTGTATGTTGCCCTAATAATATTTACCTAACCTCGACTCTTTACTTTCGTACTAATTTCTCATGCTGTTTAGGTTAGGTTAAACATATCACGTGTATCTTTTAATGTCTCCTGCGACTTTTATTAACATTAAGAAACTTTCTCAGAAATATTTTTCTCCAAAATTAATGTAATTAGACGATAACCAGCGACAATAACGTTATATTAAGAATAATAATCTTAATGTCTGATCTGATTCGCGAAGCTACCTTGCTTATCGTTAGATACATCTGTTTTGCAACGTAAAATATGTCTTAATAATATTTAGAATTTTTTTCAAATTATTTACTAAATTGCTCACAAATTCTATCTAAAACTTTTCACATACTGTTTTTTTTTTAACGAGCAGTTTTACACGACATTAGTTTTCATTATTTACGTTCAGTGCATTTACTTCGAAAATACAGATGTATTCGTATGGTAGTAAGTGAAACGAACAATCAGATAGAATTACTCGATGGTCTGAAGCATTTCCGTATCCGAAAGGATTTCATCGTTCGATTGAGAGATGTTCACCGAGCAAGTTGGAGATTCTTTTCGAAGTTTTCATTCGATATTTCTACAGTCGCGGTTCACGATCGCAAATAGAAGAAAAAATGCAGGAAGCCGTGACGCGATCTTCGACGTATAATAGTAGTCGGTGTAAATCTTATAGCGCTGAGGGCTTGCAAGCTCGATAGTAATAACGCAAAATTCAGCTTTCTTTTTGTTCATGATACATGTTTCAGTACTTATCGATAGATCATTGTGTAATACGTGTATGTTAAATGTAAAAGCGCGGTCTCTGGAAGAATTGTGGTAATTACAAGTCGATCGATATCAACGATTTATCACTAATGCGGATAGCGTGTATCGTTGTTCGATCGCCTTCGATTTTATGAGAATGTATCAATGTGTTTGTCTAGACAATAACGAGTAAACGAGATGACAATAAAACGATAATAATAAACGATGAAATAAAGATCTTGTTTGTCGTATCATCAATTGATATCTCTTCCTTTCTTTTCGGTACTTTCCTACGGTCAAATACGTTCATGTAAAATTCATTTATTTTAATTATAGCAGATCGTGTTTTCTTTATTTTAAATATGCAGTTGATTCGTATATTTATGGCAGAATCATGTTTCGTATTTATGAGAATACTACTTTACGGCTTTTCCTTTCCTTTAAATCGCCCTGTATTCAAGATATGTCGTAGTACTTTAAAAGTAATCTCCTAAGGGAGATTAACTCGTTTCATGATGTTGCAAGTGTAATAAATGTCTCGGGTGGTACATAATTTTTGCTAAATTATGTGCACCTTATTCTCGTATTGTGTTACTTCCGTATTTAATCATTGTTAAATAATACCGCTGTATGAATAACGAGCTGATCCATTTCTGGAGCATACGTGATCCATGTGGCCTACTTGAATAGGATTTAAGAAGACTAAAGATATCGTAGCGGTAGAATGGTAGAGCTACACTTTCTTTGTAAAATAAATTTGCTTATTTTATGGACATATCTACTTACGTAGATTTTGTGCAAATGTTTCAGTTGTAATCATGGTTACGAATAAGAATGGAAACTTACCTTAATTTTAATCGTTAAGCAACTTTATATTTTGTTCTACAATTTAGGTTATCCGCCTCAAAAAAATTTGAATTTCATATGGGGGAAGAATGGCGTAAAATGTAAAGGATGTTTAGAGAAGAAAGGATTCGATAAGAATTATTTTCTTTGCACATCTAGAAAAAACATTCCGTGTGTATGTCTTATGTATAATAATAAAAATATAAAAATATATCGATTTATTTACAAAAATAGACACATCTCGAAATTTTTACGAAATTTTTCGATACAAACATTAATTTTTATTCTTCATCTAATTAATAAGCGATTGCATTCCTGTACTGAAAACGTTTCAATGTTTCCTATACCACGCTTTTTCTCTAATTTAGGGACGATGTTAAATACAAAATATTAATTTTTTAAATAAAACAACTATTAATTTAATAAATAATTTCTTTCTATATTTTACAGATTATTCTTTGATGCTCATACGACTTATGCTAACTATATTACAATTAATGTTATATTAATACAGCACTAAAATGCGTATTGTGCCAACATATTGCCACGTCGCTTACTCTTCATTAAGAACTCTGTTGAAAGCTTTGTCATTCTTTGGAATGTACAGCGATTTAAAACTCTTGCCCAACAGTGTAAATGCCGCATTCTATCTTGCATTATTTACAAAATGTACAATATAACTCGAAGACCACAAGAGACAAGCAGAACATATCTAAATCCACCTTTATCCATTTTCCTTATTTTTATTTCTCAGATATCTCGAGTGTCTAAAGTAAAGACAAAGCAAACTTGCTAAACTCACAGGGATTATTGAAGAAGAAGATGGAGAACCGGAAAGTTCTCCAGAAGGCGAAACCCATAATGCGCAATAAAACGTCGATCGATACCTAACTGACTTTTACTAATGCCCATGCAATCATCGTCCGTTAAAATATGCCGCCCACGCTTCGATGATAGTTCAACTGAGCGTGTTGGGAATAATCGTAGCCCTGGTCGTACCACTCCGCCGCCGATGCAGAATTCCCGGTACCAGAAGACGGTGTACCAGCATGACTCGCGTGCGAGGAATGTTGATGACTCGAATGACTCGACGTATATTCACCTTGGAAGTGATTGAACTGTCCCCAGCCGAGTTGCGCCCTGGACCAATCGGTGTTACCTGAAATTGGGTCATCGTCGTTGCTCATTATCGTGTCTCAAGTATTAAAATTGCACGGAGTGCGAGCAGATTTAAGATTGTACACATTAATTTATAAATTATAATTTTTGTTAAACGTATTGCACTTTTTCCAAGAAGGTGGTTCAATTCAAGGTACATGTTATCGCTGTGAGAAAATTTCCAAAGATACTCTTCAACCAATCATAAAAAGTGCACAGAAAAAGATGATAATAAAAATTGGAAGTTTTCACAAAAAATTGTATCTAATTCGCTGTGATTTTAATTTTCGCACCACGTATTACTCACTATGTACTATCCGTAAACGATTTTTTCGATTCATTACAGCCCCAAGCCAACCAAACCAATTGCGATTCAAGTACCGGGCAGCTGAAATTGTCGAGTTCCTGCACGGGTTCTCGCACTCTACTAATCATGTACGTACCTGACTATTATGGATAATGTGAAATTGCGAACATTATAAAAAATAGAATTGATCAATTTGTCTTTGGAGTGGCTCGATAAATAAAAATAGTAAATAAAAATAATATTGCCAGAAGAAGAACGAAATTTCAATATTTCCATAATATAACACAACTCACCAGGGTTATGAGAGAGGGTCGTAGGTGCCCCGTGAGCCGCAGGAGGCTGAATCGTCGGTACTTGTCCAAGTTGCATTGCGTGTCCTTGTAAAGAACTCAAATGTCCCGAAATCGACACCGCGTGCCCTTGAAGGGCACTACCGATCGTGGAAGGCACTTGGGCCACGGAAGTGGTGGTTGACAACTGTGCATTGGTTCCTGGAACCTGATGAACAGCGGTGCTTGCTTGTTGCAACGTCGTTGGGCTATGGTGCAACGTGGTTGGAACTTGCGTTATTCCAGATGGTATTTGAGGGACCTGTGGTATTTGCGCAAGCTCGTGGCTCGCATATTGACAGGGAGTCAATGGCAAGTTTGCTACCGAGTGAACTATGCTTCCTGCATGCTTTCGTAGTCGCGCTCTGCGATTGCTGAACCACACCTGGAATTAGAAGTGTGTAAAGTTGGATTCAAATATCGAGTATAGAACTTCATAGTCAATTCATTTTCATAGTCAAATATTTGTAGTGATATGAAAGATTAAATTATGCGAAAAATACAATAGTGCGTCAATATATCTTGTAGCCATTGTATAAATGTCGACGTAGTGTTTAAAGTAGCAAGGTATTCTTTTTAATTAACAAATAAAAAATCTAATTAAGAGTCGTCCCAGGAAAATTTGATATTTGTAATACTTTCTAGTAAGTAAAAAAAAAAAAAGAAAAAAAATAGAAATTTTAAATTGTACGATGAATGTAATAACATCTTCATGTGCTTCTTTAAAAAATGCGAATAAACTCGTTGCTCGACCTAATATAATTGAACAAACATCCTTCTATTCATTCCTAAAATTGAAATATTTCCATTCAGTACATAATTTAAGATTTTCGTTCAGCTATTGTATAACTCACCCTGTAACAAGGAACTAGCTTTCCATTTGAATCTCTTTCAAAGTGTACTATTTATTTTAACCATACGAGGCATTCTGTGAATATACATGTATATCTTGAATACCTCAGTAATTTTCACGTTCCTCGCACGACTAAACGCAAAAAGGGTAAATTGTCAGGATACTCGACAAAAGGCATGAGACTCACTTGAATTCTTGCTTCCGTGAGACCAGTCCTCTGAGCCAATTCTTCCCTAGCATAAACGTCCGGATACTGAGCACGCTGGAACGCTGTCTCCAGTTGTTCTAGTTGTTCCCCAGTGAATGTCGTCCTGCTTCTCCGTTGCTTTCGCTTTAGAGGAATTCCAGGTTCGCTTTCCGTATCGGATTCATCACCACAACGACCTGTGGATCGTTGAATCGTGCTATCATCTTATTTACTCTGCGTTATACGGATTAATTTCGAGCCACGATGCAGCTTTATGATTAGTGAATCACGTTCAACGATACGCAATTTACATGCTAAATGATATACCTACCTATTCTTAGTTTTTTAAATACAATATATATCAGAATATAATGCTTTTACGAACTTTGAAATTACATAATTAACTAATTAATCGCGCGAGAATCGATTGATCGATTATCGATCGGATCATTAATACATAGTAAAAGTTACGTACACGTACAATTTTTGAAGCGCGAGATTCAAACACAAGATTTTCATATCGTGTTATCAAGGTAAGAAATACAATAGTTTCTACTATCTACAGTAGTACATAGACCTGTAAATACTTAATTATTTAATACTTAAATAAATGTAATTATTTAAGAAGATAATTAAAGAAAATATATTTGGATATTAACTAGGAAAAAACCTTTCAAGATCGAGAGAAGAAATTCTCGTACTCATAGGTTTCTCGAAATCGAATCGAACGATTTCTCCGCGATCCCTGAAACAGTCTGCAGCTTTCACGCCATTTAATTCCGCTTCACGAAACAAATCCGCAGGTAGGCAAACATCAGGAGAACTAATCCCCATCAAAGGTACGTAAATAGTGTCCTGTCATAACAGACTTCTCTCCTTATTCTTGCATTCATTCTACCAGTTAAAAGAGCACGCGAAACGCGTCAGCGATTGAAGATGAAATCGACCGTGCCAGAGCTCTGATTTCGTTTTACCCAAACGATTCGTTGGACACGTTCGATGGAAGCGAAGAACAGTATTTCAATAACCTCAACCACGAGGAATCGATCCTCGATCCAACAATGGGCCTCGTTTCTGGACGCTCGATTGAACGATAATAGCGGACAATCGATGATACAATAGAGAGTCGACTTAGGGGCAAACTGTGCTTCGATTGATCGCAATGGTCATCTTTATTGGCTTATTTCGTGATCCGTATATTGTTATATATCCTTGTGCTTTTTACTGCCATTGAGAGAAATGGACACACGAGCTGTTTACGTTCTTATATTTGGCCGAATAAATACGAAGGAAGTGTTTAAAGAATACGAAGAGAATATTTAGTTTACAAATCATGAATACAATGAGTAAGAGGATATGAAAATTGGCATTACTGGTTCGAGTATTGAATTGAAAAAGAGAAGACATCTTGAATGTTCTCCCGAGTGTTGTTTGCGTCGATGAAAGAAGATTTCTGAAGGAAAGAATTTTTGCGTGACGCACTTTGATCTCCCAGTGTGATTCCTGGAAGGGATTTGGGTAAGGTGAGTTATGGAAATGCAGTTTGATTTATTTGTTTCTGACGTATTGGAATTACTAATTGTACGCATGGGCTACTTGGCTCTTATTATTTGTTTTATTCTATTACTTATATTATTATATTTTCTATTATTACAACCACAGTTTAAAAATCACCGATACAACGAGCAAGAGGTATTTAACAATCGACATATCAAGTGTGGAGAATCGAATCGAGGAAGGAAAGACAATTTGGATGTTTCTGGTTCTGGGTGAGTGCTGAATGCTGCGATCAAACGAGTGCTGCCACCTACTCCTACACCTGCCAAGTTCATGCTGCCTCTTCCTTCGATAGATGACAGTACCTGGTTAATCGCAGGTAAGAAACACAACAGCGTACGACAGGAACAAATATTATTAAACTTTGTATTGAGATGAATATTTTTTATCAAAACGGAAAGAATCAGGGAAGAGTCAGAATCAGGACAGAACGGACGGAAATTAGTTTCATTTTTTCACTGCCGTCTATCAGAACATACCTGTAGATAGTGTTTCTACATGCGCAAGTTGTAATAAAAGTAATCCAATTCAGCGGATTACTTTGTCAACTTTTGCTATTGCGTCTTCCTAGCTAGAATCATAATTTTCTTCCTTGTATCGTTCGAATTTCGATATACGTCTGTAGAGACGTACAAATTTTTACGCATATATAGGTGCTGACTATATCGGTTGAGTCATTTTTTTGGATAATATTTAATTACTTGAAAACTAGACTTTTTTCAAATGCAACGTAAAATTTCCAGTTTATAAAAATGTCTATAATCACGCGGAATTAATCTAATTCGGCAAAAGTCGAGTGTTAATAAAAAACCACACAAGTATTTCTTATTGTATGTATATGTGAAGTAAAAATATTCATTTCGATAATATTACATAACGAATTAAGTACAAAGACAGCGTATTCAGGCTGTATTGAAATAATTAAATATGAAATAAATAAATATTCGCTGTATGATTTTCCTTATGGAAGTTTCAAGGCGAAGCAATTTTTAAAGAATACGATATGGAGGACAGTATTCTATAAATCTCCATTGTGAATTCTAAAAAATTCTATTAAAATTCCAAAGAAGAATGTTAGAAGCAGAGATTTTTTCTCGTGCAGAAAAAGATAGTAATATTTGGCAAAGAAGAGGGATCAAAATTTGACAAATGTGACGCGGCCTCCAGAAAGTGGAGCCACTTCAAAAGACCGCCGCTGGGAATTCGACAGGCAAATTGCACACTTCTGTCGCAGGCTTGGCCGCTCCCCGGCACAAAGTGAAAACCACAGGAAAAGAGGGTATTGTTCATAGCATGGCAAACGATTCGAGACAGGTTCTACTGTCCAAAAGGCAAAACATGACTCGTCGCCGTTTCTCAAGCAAAAGGATTCCCTTTTTCTCGATGACACAATGTCGGTACCTTTGTGGTTTTCTACGTTTTGTTACCATTTCTAAAGATTTATTGAAGTAAAATGAACGAATAGGATAATATATGTTTTGGAAAAGTATACGAGACGAGTTTCTAGATATTAGGAAAAACATCGTTTATTTGTAAAAATGACCGTATTCAAGAAATAAATTTAGAATTAATTGTTCTTAATTAATTGTTGTTTCTATCAGGAATAGTAAAGAGTAAAAAATTAGGCAGGATATCTCAGTAACTATAATAACGTATAATTGTGAGGTATAAAGAAAAATTTCAGAAACGCATCCAATAACATCGTAAACCAATAAGAAGCTAAAAAAGCAAGAAAAATCTAAACAATCTCCGATCCTCGAGTTTGACAATTTCGTTTCACCTCGGGTTATTAGAAAAATTTCAGGATCGTCCTTATAAAGCGATCCTAGCCGTCGTTAAATATCCAATGAGTGTATGAAACGTACGCGTCTCGATGATCGTGGTGGGTTTAATGTGCCGTCGTGGTGAAATATCGAAGAACATTTTTTGGTCTGTCCGAGTTGGTCCGCGGTGTCCCACTACGAGGTGACAGGAATTTAAACCGGGTGTCCGTCGGCTTTATTGTAAATGCAACTTGTCTCCGAAGCATTCTTCCATTCTTCCGTTTGTCATAGAAGAAATGCGTACGGGCCGGCAAAGGTGCCGCCAAAGGGATCACCGAGTCTCCTCTGTCGTTCGTGTCCAACGCGGGAAATTTTACTCTTGCGACCGGTAGCCTTCGGATCGAATGGAGAAACGCAACTTTCCAAGCTTCTTCTTCTCGCGTTGTTAGTTAAAAGCGGACCTTGGAACTCGCTATGTTCTTTCATACTACGTGGCTGTGATTCCATTTAAATTAATTTCATTTCGAGCAACGCCACTTTCGCAGCTTCCTTCTTTTTGCTTCGTTAAACAAAAGCGGAGCTTTTTAAGAAGCTTTTTCGTACTTCGTTTATATAACATAATTTAATTTAATTTACATCAATTTCGAGAATCGTTATTTTCAAATATTCTCCTTGTTATACGCGTAGCTGGTTAAAAGCGGAGATTGGAACTTCAATAATAGTAAAAATTAATTTAACTTGGAGCAACGGTATTTTTCAAGCTTCCTCTTGCTTAGTTAATTGAAGGTACGTGGAAGGAGATCGTGGAATTTAAGAGAACCCCTTGTACCCTGTTCATATAGTTTAATTTAATTCAGTTTCATTTCGAATATTCATCATGTTATACGTATAGTTAATCGAACGAGGTGGAGATTGGGACGTGCTAAGCTGCCGCGCTATGTTCGTATAATTTAACGTGATTCAATTTCGTATAATTGAGTTTCAAGGAACACCACTTTCTGAGATTCTTTTTTATATTACGTATAATTAGTCGAAAGCAGAGATTGAAATTTATCGAGTTTCCTCCATGGAGGAACCGCACTTTTCCATTTGAATTCCATTTTCGTTGCATTTCGTTTGTACTTTTCATGGCATTTAATTCGTTGCATGGCTGACGACGAGTTAGTTTCGAAGCTTGTTCAGCTGGATAATTGGCGAGAAGCGAGGATTGGAATTTATAAAGATAATTACAGCGAGTTTATTAACAACGTTCGCGTATGAGGGCGACGTGCAGTCAAATTCTGTACAAAGTATACGCGTGTCGCGTTACTTTCATTCTATTTAACGCTTTGACTGTCACGCTGAAATCACGTGTTTCGCTGAGGACGCCACGGAAGTATTTTTCTTATTCAAAGCATATAATGGTAAAATAATAATAAATTGACGATGTAAGACAACATTCTTCCCCGATCGACCGTTTATCACTGCCGCGCTGAAATCACATGTTTCGTTGAGGACGCAACGGGAGTATTTTTATTATTCAAAGCATATAATGGCAAAATAATAATAAATTGACGATGTAAGACAACATTCTTCCCCGATCGACCGTTTATCTTATTGGTGGTCACGGGTAACCACCCTGGCGCCTTGGTAACAGTCGATAGCGACGTATTATAACGAGGCTTCGTTCATTTCAACAAATCATTCGCATTGGTTATTACGTCGTAGGCAAAACGTGCAGAATATATCGTTGAAACGCGTAGAAGATACTGGTAAACGGTATTTGCTCGTTCTATATATAATAGCAAGGTACGTGCACACTTCTAACTTCGATTATACGATTATAAAGCAGCATTTACGATTATTTTCTAAGCTGTGTTTATAATAATATTCGTAGA